AGGCTGGCCTCAAACTCACAGAGATCCACCTGCCTCTGCCTCCTGAGTACTGGGATTAAAGGTGTGTGCCACCACTGCCCGGCAAGAAATATCTTTTAAAGGCATACAAACCAAAAAAAAAATTTAAAGTTCAACAACTCAAAAGTTAACAAATCCTTCTAGGTATTTGAATCTTTTTGGATGTATGCGTTGAATTCTTTATTTCTTTTAAAACATCACAAGCTTTTCCAGTCTGCTGCTAAGTGTTCTCTGTTAGCACGACTGCATACTGCCAGCCTATCATAGTCAGACTACAATTTATTTAACCAATTTCTACCATTAGACTTTCAGATTATTAAGCATAAATTCTGCCCATATTTTAGACTATTTCCTTAGGACAGATTCCCAGAAGTGGACTTGGAGGATCGGGGGATACAAGCATTTGCGAAACTCCCCACAGATACTGCCAAGCTGCCTTACAGAAAGCTGTTGCCAATTTACACTTTCAACATTGCCAGTGTGTTTTTTCTACCAATATGGATCTGTGCAAAAGGATAATAAAATTAAGTGGAACATACAGTCCGTGGGTTCCTAATGACGCTGGAGAGACACAGTGACTTCTGGCGCAGAGGCCTATGGCAAAGGTCATCCCTATTTCCAGGGCTGCTGTTACTAGTGAGTTAGTGTGAGCACACGTGACTGCAGTCTTCAGCAGAGGGGCCAAACCCAAGGCTGGGCTCACTTTTGTCTGTTGCTGTATTCCAGCTCACAGGACGGTACCTGGCATGGGAGCCACTCAGTAACATCTGTTGAGTGAATTAACACAGAATCTTCTTTCAGACGGCTGCTGGAGGGTTTGGTCACTACCAGTTCCTGGGAAACACTGATGGAGCAGTCTTGTAAAGGTCTGCTCCATCTGAAATTCTACCAAAGCCCTGGGAAAGCCGTTCCAATGAAGACAAGAGAGATCTGTTTAGGCTAAATAAAAACGGATTCACCTAAAAGGACACACCCCAGCATTGGTCACAAGTACCATACACAGAGTTTTGTTTTTTAGTATTTCGAGAAAGGCTCTCTGTGCATCAGTCCTGGCTGTCCTGGGACTCACTCTGTTGACCAGGTTGGCTTTGAACTCACAGAGATCCCCCTGCCTCTGCCTCTGAATCCAACTGCTGGGATTAAAGGTGTGTGCCAATATTGCCTGGTTGTTTGTTTCTTCAAATCAAAGATTTGGTAAACATTTGACCAAAAACGCTATAAAAAATGCTGTTTAAAAATGTTATTAAAAGGGCTGGCGAGATGGCTCAGAGGTTAAGAGCACTGACTGCTATTCCTGAGGTCCTGAGTTCGATTCCCAGCAACCACATGGTGGCTGACAACCATCTGTAATGAGATCTGGTGCCCTCTTCTGGCCTGAGGGCATACATGGAGGCTGAACACCGTGTACATAATAAATAAATAAATCTTAAAAAAAATGTTATTAAAAAAATAAACTGTGGCCGGTTGTGGTGGCGCACGCCGGTAGGATTTGCTGAAGGAGGCAGAGGCAGGAGGATCACGAGTTCGAGGCCAGCCTGGGCTACACATTAAAAAAAATAAATAAATAAACTGTGCAGCGGAGGCGCATGCCTTTAATCCCAGCAGCTGGGAGGCAGAGGCAGGCGGATCTCTGAATTTGAGGTCAGCCTAGTTTGTAAAGCCAGGGCTGTTACAGAGAAACCAACCACCAACAACAAAAATAAAGCAATAAAATGTTGCCCCCCAAAAAAGATGACTTATTTCATTACTTTGGGTGGGACAGGAAGCAAGATGAGGTGATTGGGACAGAGAAAAGTAGACAAAAATCAGTGACGGAATGGTACCTTCCTAGAAGGTATCTGGCGGTAACACGGAATACAGTAGCATGGAACTGACTCAGAATCAGAGGGGTGAAGGTGAGAGCCGGGAGTAAGATGACGGGAGAGTCAGCTGACGAAGCCTGAGAATGACTCAAGGCGTGCAGATGGCCAGCTCTCTCGACGTCACAAGACGCCAGGCTTGACCTTCTGCCAGGGAGAAGGGGACTAGCTACAGCTCTGAAAAGGCTTCCTGACTCTAGGGCCCAGAGGTACGCAATCCTTGTGATTGCTAAGGGAGGGCTTGGCCACTAGCCCCTCCCCATCCCACTCCACGGATGCAGGAAGACAGTTTGGAACCAGGGCTGAAGCAGAAACGGCCTGCTTCAGTGGGACCACAGCTTAAGTCGGGGGGCAGGAAGACGGTCCAAAGACCAGGAAGGAAAATCACACCACACCAAAGGCCCAAGGCAGCCACACCTCCAGGTGTGGCCCAGAATCATAGCTGGATCTCAGTCTACAGGACCAGGAACTCAGGAAGCCTGTGCAGTGAGGTGCAGGCCATCAGCGACTTCAGGCACTCAGTAAGTGCCGCTGGGCTAGAGCTCTCCGGTCACCCAGGAGCCCAGGCTCTACCGCTGGGTTCAGTGATGTTGCAGTCATATGAAAGTGGACTAAAAGTCAGGGCGGTAATTTTACCTCCCCCAAATCTGAGACATCCTGCCACTGCTGAGTATGTCTGGGAAAGCCTTGCAAAGGAGTAATGGACTGAAATGGCACTTCAATCTGACTGCTACATGGGACTTGGCTTCGGATAATAAATTAAGTCCCTTTTTGGAAACCACTTAGAACAATCTGAGTCCACACTCCTAACACCTGCTTCTTAGTATTCTGTGTTTAAACCCTAACCCAGACCATTTTACTTCTGGGGCCTTGTATTTCAATATGGGTCTCAGTCCAGCATCACGGCTGGGTTCACACTAACTCTGTTTACAGGATGAAATAAACCCAGAAACCACTTCTCTCAGGATCTGTGCTATAAGTGAGAGCCAGGAGTGGTGGCTCACACCTCTAATCCCAGCACTTGGGAGGCCAAGGCAGGTGGACCTCTGTGAGACCCTGTCTCAAAAAAACAAAATAAAGTAACATGGAGATAAGACCTGAAAATAGTGGTGTGGGATCCTTGTCTGTGCCCATGGACACACTATTATGTAATGATTACAAGACCAGAGAAAAGATCAATGAATTCATCAAAATTATTGCAGTAGTGGGGACTTCATCCTAAAATGTACTGTCCTGAGTGGCAAGCATGGAGGAACCAGAACTTCATCTCACAGGACAACCTAGAAGTGGGATGTCTTGGAACTACTAAGCAGGGAGAAGTCTATAAGGTGCTGCTTGTATTTAAGAGTTTTTTTTTTAATATATACTTTTTTAAAATTAGTTTTTATTTTATGCGCACTGGTGTTTTGCCATGGGTGTTAGGTCCTCTGGAACTGGAATTAAAGACAGTTGTGAGCTGCCATGTGGGTGCTGGGAAATGAGCCCCGTTTCTCTACAAGAACCACTCTTAACCACTGAGCCATCTCTCCAGCTCCCAGATATTATGTCATGCGAACTGAATTGGTGTTACAACTGCATGTATCTTTGTGTGAGCTTCCACGTGGGTGCTGGGATTTGAACCGGGGTCCTCTGGAAGAAGTTGGTGCTCTGAATATGCTGAGCCATTTCTCCACCCCTCTTCAAGAGCTTTGCTAGACGACAAGATCTAGCTTTCAAGGAACTTCACAACTGAAGGTCCACCTGCTTCTGCCTGCCAAGTCTGGGTGTGTGCTGCCACACCCGGCCTTGAGACCTTTTGAAAGCAGGAGAGACAGTAAAGTGAATTATGCTGTGAGGATTACGAACCAGTATTATTTCTTAGCAAGTGAGTCACTAAGTGTCAGAACCCCTGGGTAAGGCAGACACTGGCCAGCGCTGAGATGCTGTTGCTTCCCTTCCCTCTGCACCCCCTTAGGCATTCTGAGATGCTTTCTCAGATGTGGAGTACTTGCAACCCTCTTGAGACAAGTTTCATTCCGTGAACTCTGACAGGGAGGTACGAAGAGACTGTTTAAATTTGTATAGCCTGCTTTTGGGGGCGGGGAGGTCCAATTAGCTGCTTTAACAAGGGAGTTTGTCATAAACCTACCTGCAGATAGGGGTAGCAATGTATAAACTACTAGCATAAAATTAAGGGCAGAAGAGAGGAAGCCCAAAGTTTTCAAATTCCTCGTCTGCAACACTACTACCTGCCCCCCGCCTGACCCAAGTATTTTAACACTAAAAGTGCATTTTCTTTTTACCCCGCCTCATGCTGTACCACCTCCTGTGCATCCTCCAATCTCACCGTCCTTTCTCTCACCCTTCTTCACGGATATAGTTAAAAACCGCCTCCTCCGTCAACCCCACCTATCCTTAGCAATCTCACTACAGAGCTCAACACCATCCAAAACACACTTGACCTCAGTAACTAAATAAATGTCGTGTGTGAATCGGCACCGCATCCCAGACTCCCTTAACGTGAAACCCGAGGAATCACCTAGTCTCTTCATGGGACATCACGGCCTTCACCTGGGTCTCATGGCTTAAATGTTCTAGGGCCAACCCTTCTCTTCTAGCAGAAGGTACCCAAAAGAATGGTGGTCCAAAGTACAGGAGAATGAGACACACCTAACTCTCCTGTCGGAGGAAGGGAGTTCTGTGAGGTAACTATTGTAGGCCAACCGTGAGTCATTCGGGTTAGATCACACTGCCTTCTGTACCACACCTCTCAGGCCCTGACTGTGAAGCAGGCTGAAACTGCAGGCCTTCTTTTGGGGTCCCCTCAGAAAATTATGTCTCACAGAAATAGACTTAGACCCGCTCTTCTCACTGGCATGATCCCCTGGGACAGCAGGATGTGCAGGGTAGCCCCAAGCCGAGCTACAGGCACTGAAGAGAGCCACACTTGCTGAAATAAAAAACAAACTATCACCAGAAGTCAACAGTCACAAGCCCTCCAAGAAGGTTGGGAACAGCAAGGAAGAGAACCCCATAGATCAGTATTATATGTAGCTGGATCCTGCCCAGCGTGAAGGAGGAGCCAGAGAGGAAAAGCAGATGAGGACAGCTCCCTGGTCAGGTTCTGGCGACCTCAGGCTCATTTCAGCAGGATGTGAACCAATGCTGAGCCACCCTAGGCGGAATGCTTGCTGACTGAGGCTGGCCCTGCAGAAGCTGGCTGGCGGGAGTGGGGGTGGGGACGTGGATTCTGGGATTCAACACAGGCAGAGACATTTGCCCACCAGCTTTCTGCTGCAAAGGACTCCACATCTCAGAACTTGTTGCCCTTTCCCTCACTATAAAATGGTTTTTCGTAATTTCCTTTGAATGAATCAGAGGGAATTCAAATTTCTCGGGTTCAGGCTCATCCTTTAGAATACTCGCTGGAACTTTGGCAGACATTTTTCTCATGTTCAGGTTTTCTTTCAGAATGAGTCTAACATTCTGCAGCATTCTCACCGTTAACTGTCTGTTTGAAAAAGCCGAGTCCTTGACTTTCTGGGTGTTTTCATCCGTCCTGTGCGTGACTGGACGAACTTTTTATGCATTTAGGCCATCTTCCCGCCCTACCTAAACCCTTTCAAAAGACGGTGGGTCTCACTGGCAGACTTGTTCAATTTCACGCAAAACTTGATACTAATCCTTTGCTCTAAACAGCGACCACTCATTTCGGCATTAAGTCACACAGGAACATGATCAGGCCACGACGGTGAGAAGCCCCGAGGTATCAGTCTCTAGGGTGCTGCTGGTCTAATCATTTCGCTATTCCTGCTCTTCAAGAAGCCACCAGGGAAGTTTCTGCTTTTTCTGAATTTTCGCCCTTAGCGTCTAGTCGAGGTGTGGGGCTGGCAAACTCGCACTAACCGGGTTATAAAAGTAACCGAGAGGCAACGCTGGGAAAAATTAAAGCCTCTACAACCCCCACGTTTGCGTCCAATCCGTGCACGGAATTTGCAAAGCAGTCACCAAAGTCGTGCGGATTCTGTGGTCCTAAGAGTCTATGGCATCCATGCAACGGACGCCTAAGCGCGGCTACTCAAAAAGCAGGATGACGCGGCCGTGGCGGTAACGTCAGAACTCGCCCCGGGGACCTGAAGGACGACAAACCTACCAGAGAAGCCCTGGCTTCTGCTGGCTCCGGAGTCCCGGGAGGCTAGGCCGCATGCGCAATGCCTCCCTCGCGCGGGTTGGGCTGTGCGCGTGCGCACTGAGGCAGAGGCGCCGAGCTCTGCCGCCACCAGCCCACGCCCGGTCGGAAGCGCTCGGCTCGTGTGCGCATGCTCGCCCGCGGGAAAGGTCGCCGGCGAGGAGAGGAGGAGGAGGCTGAGAGGAGAGAGGGCACCCCCGAGCACCAGGGTGCATTGTGGGAAGGAGGCGGCAGCGTCCCGGGCGGGCTGGAGGTGCAGCAGCGGCGGCGGCGGCGGTAAATCCTCCCGGCCGCTCACAGCACTGTGGAGCCGCGGCCCCAGCCCGGCCTCGGCCCGCGCGCCCCTCCTGTCCCTCGCGGCTTCGCCTGCCAGCCCCTCCTCCGCGCGCGCGGCCTGGCGTAGCCGGCCGGCTGGCCGGCCCAGCTCCCCTCCCCGGCCCCGCGGGGCGGCCGTGCTGCTGCCCTGACGAGGCGGGGAGGGGAGGGCTGGACCGGCCGGTGGCCGGACGACCATGCCGAACTTCTGCGCCGCCCCGAACTGCACACGGAAGAGCACGCAGTCCGACCTGGCCTTCTTCAGGTTCCCTCGGGACCCGGCCAGGTAGGTGAGCGGGGCGCGGAGTCGGGTGCACGTGCGCTGCTGCGCCCTCGGGGACCCGGCCGAGAGGGTGCCACCCCGGGGGCGCCGAGCGGCTTCCGTCGTCCGGCTCATTTTCCTAGCTGTCAAGGGAAGGGTGGGACTCCCGGGTTGCTGTCCCGGCGGCCCTGCCTCTGCTCCTGGGACGGTGTTTCTGTTTGGAGTCGGGCCGCTTGCTTTGATCTTCAATCGGGTCACAACTGCTGCCTCCTTCGGGGTTGTCATCGTTCTCGGCGTTCAGAGGCGGACCGTTACTCATTGTCTCCCTCGGTTATTGTGGGGAGCTCCGAGGACGCGTGTGAGGGCGTGGGAATAGGTATTGAAACTTCACTCTTCCCTTGGGGCAGCTCATCCTCCGGGTCGTGCTCTGAGAGGCGTAGGGACTGAGTGTGATTGATAGGGTTTCACGGGGCTCTCTTGTTGGTCCATTCATTTAAAAGTCAGTGCTTAGCCGTGTTTGGAGTACTCGTGTCAGGTGCTGGGGACCCTGGGAATGCTGTCAGGAACCGCAGAAAGCGCCTAATCCGTGGAGGGAGCAGATCTATCAACAGGCGTTGTAATGTAGCATGCTATTTATTAGTTGGACAAATATTTATCGAAAGCCTACAATTGGTAGAAATTGGTTTGAGCGCAGGGTAACAGATGAGCCAGTGAAAAGTCCCTGCTCTCAGAGGTTACGTTCAAGTGGTGGGAAACTGGAAGTAAAATATTTACAGTAGTGTGCCCCCCAAATGAGAAATACCCTAAAGAAAAATACAGCAGGGGTTGGAAGAGTTTAAAGGTAGCCAGGGAGCAGCTGCAAAGACGGCTCAGCGCTGAAGAGCACTTGCTGCGCTTGCAGAAGACCTGGGTTCTGAGCCCACCTCGGGTGACTTAACCCCCTGTAACTCCGTTTCCAGGGGATCTCATGAACAACCTCCTCTGGCCTTTGTGTGTACCAGGCTCAAAGTGTAATACACTCATGCATATAAATAAGTAGACTTTTTTTTTCTTTTGCTTTTTCGAGACAGGGTTTCTCTGTGGTTTTGGAGCCTGTCCTGGAACTAGCTCTTGTAGACCAGGCTGGTCTCGAACTCACAGAGATCCGCCTGCCTCTGCCTACCAAGTGCTGCGATTAAAGGCGTGCGCCACCACCGCCCGGCAATAAGTAGACTTTAAAGAAAAAAAAACCATAGCCAGGGAGCTGCGTTTGGTGACGTGCACTGTAATCCTAGCTCTGAGGAGGCAGGAGAATTAGCTTGAGTTTTGAAGCCAGCCTGAGTTAAAGCAAGTTCCAGGACATTTAGGGCTACAGTTGTGAGATCTTGTCTCACTTACCCATTTAAAGAAAAAAAAATGATAATAAGAGAGGCACAATTGCTATTTTAAACAGAGGGAGTAATAAAAGTCTCACCGCAGTGAATTTGAGCAAAGAGTTGAATTAGGGCAGGGGACATCCATGAAATACCTTAGGAAGTCTGGAGACAGGAAGAGTGCAGTCAAGGCATGCTTGCTGATGAGGTGTGTATGGGAGTCACAAGCTGTTCAGGAAGTTGTCTGTGGAAACACTCCGGGGTTTATTCTGAGTGAAGCAGGAGAACTTAGAGCTGAGAGAGGTTCTCCCAGGGATTTCTGGCTGCTTGTTCATTGTAGGGGAGCAAAAGTGAAAGCAGGAAGACCAGGGATCGACTGTTGCAATAGTCCAGATCAGAAGAGGAGGAAGAGGTACATTGTGCGTTTTAGATAAAGTTTGGTGATGAAGCCAACTTAATTTGCCAATAGTTTGGGTGTGGGTTATAAGAGAAAACAGTCAAGGGTAACTCCCGAGATTATGTATGTGTTATGAGGGTAGTGTGGGTACTGAACCTGTAGCCGGGCTAGTGGCCAGCAAACCCCGGCAAGCCTCCTGTCTCTGCTCCCATAGGGTTAGAGCTGCAGACACAGCTTTTCGTGTGGGCGTAGTGATCTGAACTCAGATCCCCAGGCTTGCACGGCTTCCACCCACTGAGCCATCTCTCTCAGACTCCTGAGGCTTTTAACATAAAACAGTTACTGACATAAGGAAGATTGGGAATTACAGTTTGTTGGGGAATAGTAAAAGTTTGATTTGTAATGCGGCATCTGACAGCAGGCTTGGTAGAAATTCCAAAGGTGTCTTCAGCCAGGGGATGGAGTTCAGGACTAAAGACCTTGATTAGCATAAGTGAGGTTCCAGGTTCTATCCCCTGTGCTGGGGGGAATATAGTTATCTTTATACTACATACAGAAATTAATTTCAAATGACTGATTTCTCTTTCTCTACATTGTCGATACTTGTTTTTTGTTTTTTTTTTTTCTTTTTGTTTTTCAAGACAGGGTTTCTCTTGTAACCCTGACTTGCTTTGCTTAAGCAGACCTTAAACTTAGAAATCTGCCTGCTTCTTCTTCCTGAGTGCTGGGATCAAAGTCATGTGCCACACTTGGCACTGATTTCTGTTTTAAGTCTATTTATAAATATGTTTATATATTTTTAACTAAACTTTTATGTATGGTCTGTGGCCCTTTAAAAGAGATAATTGCCTGCTCCAAATATATTTATTTATTTGTTTAATCCCAGCACCTGGGATTAAAGGTGTGTATATCAGGCCAGGCCTTGGTGGCGCACGCCTTTAATCCCAGCACTTGCAACACAGAGGCAGGTGAATCCCTGTGAGTTTAAGGGCAGCCTGGACTACAAGAGCTAGTTCTAGAACAGCTAGGACTGTTACACAGGGAAACCCTGTCTTGAAAGACCCCCCCCCCAAAAAAAAAACATATATATGTACCATGCCTGACTCAGATTAAATATGTTTTGAGATGAGGTTTCCTATGTAGTTTAGGCTGGTCTCAGACTCAGAATCTTCCTGCCTCAACCTCCCAAGTACTGAGATTATAGGTGTGTGCTCCTATGCCCAGCCCAAACGCTAAAATTTAAACTTTGACTTTATATTTCATAATTATACTTTGGTTTTGTTTATAGATGCCAGAAGTGGGTTGAAAATTGTAGGAGAGCAGACTTAGAAGACAAAACCCCCGATCAGCTAAATAAGCATTATCGACTATGCGCCAAACACTTCGAGACCTCTATGATCTGTCGAACTGTAAGTAAGAGCGTGGCCTCTCCTCCCTTGCTGTCTGGTTTGCAATGTCAGTTTTTATTGAATGTCTGCCTATACAATTTGAGTTGAAGATAGGTCTGGAGTCTAGTAGTAGTATCTGCTTGCTCTCAAAAACTTGACTTTTGCTGGGCGATGGTGGCACACGCCTTTAATCCCAGCACTCGGGAGGCAGAGGCAGGCGGATCTCTGTGAGTTCGAGACCAGCCTGGTCTACAGAGCTAATTCCAGGACAGGCTCCAAAGCCACAGAGAAACCCTGTCTCGAAAAACCAAAAAAAAAAAAAAAAAACCTTGACTTTTTAAACCCCTCTTTTCTTGATGCCCCCTCCCCACCTCACTAGAGATAATAACTTTTAAACTTACAGAAATGTACATGTGTAATACTGTGGCTGTTCATTTCAAGCTACTTTTCTAGAGTTTTTTTGTTTTGTTTTAATGTGGTTCTAGGGATAGAACCCGGGGCCTTCTGTACCACTACCACTCTACCACTGAGTTAACCCCAGCTCTTCTAGAGCATTCTTGTGAATGGCAGTCTCACCTAGGAATGATGCTCTTACCTCATTCCCACTGTGTAATTTTAAGGACTAGCTAGAACAAGAATCTGTATCACATGGGTAACATGAAGCTGTTCTTACCCCCAGACCTTTCCCTTCTGGGCCTGAACAAAATCTTAGGGTTTCTAATGTTCTAAGATTCTCTAGTAAGAGAATGTGATTCATAAAAGAAACAGGCAGATTTGATTGACATGTGTGGACCAGAAACCAACAAG